TATATCACCTTGATTCCTCACAGCACTGCTGTGTTAAATGACTCTGACTTTTGGGACATGAAGTTTCAGACCCTCTCCAGTTTACTGAGTTCAGTACATATTTGAACTTCAACCAAGTTAGTTAAACATAACTTTTTTCACCTGAATATATTCACATTAATATATATATATAACTTCTTGAAACATACACATTTTGATATTATAACAGTTGACATTAATTTACTCAGGGCTACACATACACAACCTACTCCACACATTCAAAGCAAAGAAAAAAATCAATTGAACAATAAATATAGTAGGAAAATTGTAAAGTCATGATAAGTACTCAATTCTAAGTGCCCTTAATGAGCAACACACTCAGCTGAGTAGCAGTAGTGATTCACTTGTCAAAGGCACTGTGTCATGGAAGGCTTAGTTATTTTGATGACAGGTGTTTTGCGGGAGCAGAAAGAGTTTTGCCAAGGGGATGAGCTGAGACTGCACTGGGTGTGTGTCTGAGTGGAGGAAAGTGGTTTCTGTGGCAGAGCCTCACGAAAGAAATACTACCTCAAGGCACCTTCAGGAGTACAGTCATTGTAATTAGCAACAGGAAAATTTAATTGTTTTATCTTTGCCAAGAATAATTCTTCTTTTAGTTATTATGATGTGCATTTTTATGATGTTACGGATTCCTGTTTCATCTGTACATTTGCCTTCAGTGATGGCATGCATTTGAACTAAAACAGAGGCTTTAAACGAATTTATTATGTATATAGTATGATAGAAGGAGGGCCAAGTAATTTAAATGTGGAGCATCTACAGGGACTGTAGATCCCTGTAGATCCCATCTACAACTAGTTTGCCTTTTCTGTTTCTTTTATAGTTGATAACTGTGTACAGTCAATATGTCATGTAGTTCTCTACTTATGATCTCCCAGTGTTACAGGTAGCCTGGCATCTGTGAAAGCTCTGAAGTTGCCCTCTCAGCCTTTGCCTCATATTTTTGTCACACCCCAGTGCCAGATTTAAGGCACTGCTGTTTTTTTCTTTATTTGTACCACAACACTTAAGATTTGAATTGCTTATTTAAACATCTCAGTGAGATTTGTGTCTAGCTCACATTTTCAAGAAAACAAAAGCTGGTGAAACGGCGTAATCAACATATAGGGCTATCCCACCCACACAAGTCCCTAGATGCTTCCTGCGGAATAAAATGTTCACAGCACAGCTGAGGAAGAATGTCTGTCTGCGTCTGCTCATGTAACGTGAGAGGTGACTTTCCCTGATAAGCTCTGTCTTACTCTCAGAGCTTATCAAACTGCAGTTGAAGGGAGAAGGTTCAGGTGTTAATAGGCTGACCTCTGTCTAGAAAGAAGTGCAATACTACCGACCTAGCGAACGCCTCAGGAAACCAGCCTAACAATCCACTTTGCCTTGTTAGTGCAGACAAATGGAAAAAAAAGTGAGTATGATGAAAGATAAGGACCAGCAGTCGCACTCCTGGGCATTTTCGGCTAGTCTGCTGTCGGTGGCTTTGGAGTGAATCTGTATTACAGAAGGCACAGCACTTCACATCGTTGGCTGCCAGCAACAGATTTAAAGGTCTGTGGGGTTTTATTTCTTGTCATTAGTGGCATCTACACAGAAAGCACTGAAGACCATGAGAGCTTGGCATTTTTAGTGCTGGGATTTGTAATGTCGACGGAGTTATTAAACGGCTCTCACAAAGGCACTGTTGCCTAGCTGCACTTGAAGAGCTCCAGCCTGTGTGCACTTGTGTGGGTCTCTCTGTATGCCTGGGTGGAGGTATTCAATAGGATATCACAGGCTTTCTGAAAGTAAGCCCTTCTGAGCACTTTTGAGCGGAGGCACTTTGCGAGAAGAAGATTTTTTCTCGCTGCGTTTTATTAACTGTTCATTTTTCTACAAGCTAAAGCACATCCCTGGAAGAGCTTCACGTGTGTTCAACTGGATGACTGCGTTTGCCCAAAAACAAAAGGAAAGCCCCAGCTGTCATTATGTAAATGCACAATGGGGACTGAGATAATGGTTCATTTCCTTGAAGTGTATTTATACAGTGGACCAAAGTCCGCTGTAACGGGTTGCATGTTTTGCACTGCATGAGACAGTCCACTGACCAGTGTCATTGTCAGTGAGTATGCGTTCCCAGTTCATTTATGTATCTCTTCATTTTGCCACAATGCTCCGTTTTACTACGTTAATGTAGATTAATGATATTGTAACATAGATGAATGATTTCACCAGCAGCCATATCAGCATGCAACTCCAGCCAGCCCACTGAAGATCAGCAGGTGTGAGCCTGGCCAGTACCTGGAGGGGAGACCTCCTGGGAAAGCTGAGGCTGCTGCTGGGAGAGGGGTTAGTGGGGCCAGCAGGGGGCGCTCACCTTGTGTGGGTCCCAATGCCCATGTATAGTGACAGGGACACTGTACTGTAAAAAGGCGCCGTCCTTCGGATTAGACATAAAACCAAGGTCCTGACTCTCTGTGGTCATTAAAACTCCCAGGACGTTTCTCGAAAAGAGTAGGGGTGTTACCCTGGTGTCCTGGACAAATCTCCCTCTGACCTTTACCAGTCATGGTCTCCTAATAATCCCCATCTCTGAACTGGCTTCATCACTCTGTTCTCCTCCCCACTGAGAGCTGATGTGTGGTGAGCGTTCCGGTGCACTATGGCTGCTGTCGCATCATCCAGGTGGGGCTGCACACTGATGGTGGTGGAGGGGATTCCCATTACCTGTAAAGCGCTTTGAGTGGAGTGTCCAGAAAAGCGCTATATAAGTGTAAGCAATTATTATTATTGTTATAATGTGTCAACTATCTCTATAAGCAACATGTGCTATCCTGATACCTTAGTTGGTAAGCTGAATGAAGAAGACCTGCATATCTTCTGCAAATATATTTTAGTTTTTGTAGCACCTTACCTAACGTTGCAGTCTATTCATCATCACCTTCCACTGGGGAACTTTTAGAATGTATGACACTTCTCACATTTTAGCGGTATTATGTTACTGCTCTTACTCCCTTACTGATGGAGAGGGTGCTGCCTCATGATTTCATGCTGTAGTTGCGATCGGCTCTGCTGTAAGCCTTTCTTCACCCAGCCCTGGGTTATATTATCCACACTAAGATACAGATTGAGAGCAGTGCGTCTAGATGCCATCAAGGGAATGAGCAAGGAATGGTGCATAGTTTGCAGACTGTGTAATCCACTAAGACTGAGTTGTCTTGACTATGTGTTGAAAAGGACCAGCTTGGAAAAACAGAAAGCATACCTGAGTACTTGCAAGAATGAGGAGTTCCTTTCACTGATTAATTGATGGTCCTGCATGTATAGTAAATGTTAGATCCGGACTACTTTGAAATCAAAGGATCTTATGTATGCGGAATTTGAAAGCAAAAGTAAAATGTAGTTGTACCACATGAATTAATTTGTTTTGATAGATTTCAGTAGGTAATTTAGCATCTTAATATGCTGAAATGTCACACACCATTCAAAGGGAAATACAAGAATGTGTCACCTTGTGTTGTATACAGTGGATAGAAAAAGTCTACACACACTGATGGAAATTGCAGGTTTTTGTCATGTAAATCCAGAAATCAAGATAGATCATGTCAGACATCTTTCCATCTTTAATGTGACCTTGCAACCAACAAAATTTAAGAGCACTTTTTTTTCCAAGTTTTCTCTTGGAAAAATTGAAAAATGTCTGACATGAGTTCTGGCTTTACATTACAAAACCCTGCGATCTCAATAGACTTTTTGTATCCACTGTAGGTATCTCACACAACTATTTGATCTGTCAGTGAAACAGCAGTTATGATTCAGGCCCTTTTTACTTTCGTCGAGAGGCTGTTTAAAATCAAGCTCAGTAACTTAGTGTATGTAATAAAGCAATGTGCAATTATTTATTCAGGGTGTGCTGGTCAGAACTGCAATCTTACAGCTCTAGGGTCCTGGGTTCGATTCAGACCTGTGATGCCTTTTCGGTGGAGTTTGCATGTTCCCCCTGACCGTCCCCCTGTCTCTGCATGCATTTTCACTTCATGCTCCAGGTTCGTTCCACAGTCCAGACAGGCTGCTCAGTTTAATTAGCGTCTCTAAACTGCCCCGTGTGTGTAAGTGAATGTGGATGTGTCTGCCCTGCCCTGGACCGGCATGGATGAGTTTGTTTAGATATTGCGTCATTTAGGACAGGCCAAAGGGCTTTTGAAGTGTGTAATTTGTTTCCTCCATCTGTCAAGAAGAGATGACAATCTGGAGATGTTTCTAATGAGCTCTGGGATATCCAAGGTCAGTTTTATCTTATTTCTAAAGTTCACTCAGTTGGCTTGCCCTCTTTTATAAACTCTGCATCCTTGAATATTACAATTCCTTGCTACTGTAGGAAAGTGGATGTGTGTCTCACAGCCAAGAGGGGAATAAGATTTGGCATTGCCCCCTGCTATTCAGTAACTTTACAACTCTACTCAGAAAGCCTTGAAGGTACTGTCCAGGTGCAGTAAAATCACACATTTTCATGACAAGTAATTATAGTGGATTACAGCGTGTGATTAATTATTGATCTGACTACAGAAGCTATCTCCTAAAGCGCTTTTTATAGGCAGCTTTGTCATTTGGATAGATGATAGAATAATCATGCAAGGCCAAATATTTGAACTTTTCAGGAGAAGAATTTATGACTAGTAATCATCTCCTGCTGTAGAAACGATTTTTGCAGTTCTGTCAATATGCACAAATGGCTGCTGGGTTTTGTTCTGTTTCATGTACTGAGAGATTTTGTTTTCTGGTGTTCCCTCATGTCATAAGTCACGTCTGTTCGGTTGGGATGTGTTCGTGAAACTCGAAAAGAAGAGTACCTTAGCTGAGATGGTGTTTGATACCAGGATCCCTAGATTAAGATATACAGCTTGTCATGGTCAGATGGTGGAAAGATTAGAGTTTTAGGATCTGTGCTTAATCTGTGGGCAGCATTACAGAAACAGAATCTCTCAGATTAATCCTTCTAATTGATACCATGAATTGTGTATTAAAAGCCTGATTGCGTGGAAACCCTGATTAAAGTCTCACTGAGCGCAGAAGCAGTGATTTAATTTGTAGAGGCTGAGAGCGGGTCTCCATTTCAAGCACAGTAGTCACTGCTTCAGTTCAAAATACCAGACAACGCTGAAATGCGGTAAATATTATTTGCAAAACATTGAGTGATGGTGATTTTTTTAAGTCCTATATGAAAACTAAAAGTTTAAGTATCAATACTATTCCCATGCTTTTGTACTTCTGGAACCTAGTGATGAATTAAAGATTTGTACAAATAATCATTTTGCTAAGACATGTGCACTACTTAACACAAGAGAGGAGCAAGTCTGACCCCACTGAAGTGCAGTTTCCAGAATGTAGTTGATTTAGTGTTGTAAATGGTTCTTCTCCTTGCCTCCTCCACTCTGACAAAATGTCATGAAAGCCTACTGCACTTGAAGAGCTAGTATAGCTGACAGCAGCTAATGGGAAAAGCTAACCTACTGTATTGCCTCTGCAATATGTAATAATGCATAATAAAATACTAACAAAAGGCATTCTTAATAAGTGTTAGGCACACCTAGGCATCTCAGAGCACTTTTCCAGCTTCACTGTAATTCTATTTAATTGCAGAGTGCAGTGATTTGAATACTGTGGTTTATCATTCTCTCCTGTATATATATAGCGATGCACAATAAAAACACAACTGCCTACTGTAGGTATTACAAAAGCTGGTTATTATAATGGTCACATGATATTATTTTCATTTTAAATAGCAGGCTTGTCTTGTTAATTGAGTTTTCCTTAGGATAACAAAATGCTGAGCTCAAAATGCTGAGATGTTGGTTAAAGTTACAGCTCTTAACATCAGGGTATATAATAAAAAGAAAATTCCTCAATATATTAAACTGACAAACCTGGCAGACACTTTTATATTGCCAGAACTATAAAAATGTGTTTCTAATTGAGTACTACTCATAAAACGTTTTTCTGAAAATTGACATTTAAGTTGAGTTAAAATGGCAAGAATTTGTTAATTAAGAATATGTAAATACAGTCATTGAAGAAACCTGCTTTTAATTAAAACAAGAACAGCAAACGGTCATGTCCATATCCTGCAGGCATAATCCATGTCATGGTTGCTGGCTGCATTACTGTCAGAAGATGTTCTGTTTAAACAATCAGCAGACCAATCCACAGAAAACCGGCTCTGACTGACAGGCCATGTCCTGAGAATGAGAGGATTATCACACTATCACATCCAACCTGTCCATCTGTGTGTCAGAGGAAAGAACCTGCACAGCAGCAGAATGGCGGTAGCTCCCAGTCTGCATGAAAATGATCGTCCTGGGGATTACACAGCTGAGAGACAGACTGAGAGGCATCTCATGTGGGTCAGGGCATGTGAAATGATAGACCTGGTGGAACACAGATACTGTATGGAGCGATGGCGGTCAGCACTATCCTGATTGTTGCGTAGGTCACACCGATCAGTGGGTAGTGAATGTGTGGTGATGTGAGGAGGAGTTCCTTTAACACAGAGATCTACATCTTTGCTGCAAATTGATTTTTTTCCCAGCCATCAATAAATTGACAAAGTGCTTCTTCAGTCAGCAGTGATAATAAAGATGTTGGCAGTTTAGAGATTCACAGAATGAACCATTTTATTGCATCCCCTCTTATTACTGAAGCTTCTTCTCCAGTAGGAATAGGAGTCTTTGCAATATTTTCCTTTTATGGAAATGCAACAATTCTGTTTTTATTTAGTTCTGTTTTAATATCATGAACTTTTTAACTCCATCCCTCCTAAAACACTGAAGGAAAGAAAGATGTCTACACAAAGTGCCTTGCGATGCTTTTGTCGCTGTCTTGGAACAAGCAGAAGTATATGTCACTTCACTGCACACTTGAGCATGCGCAGGAAGCATGTGCCTTCACCACCTAAATCGTTGGCCATCTTTCAGTTTGGACAGTCAGTCTGCTCTTTACCTGCTAGTTTTGAACGCTGGCATGACTCGTGTTTGTCAAGGGGGAGGCTTTGGAAAAGCCAGTGTCTTCCGGCGAGTCACCTGCCCTGTGGTTCCAGGTGTCATCACTCAGCGCAGCCTGGCTGGGCCACAGAGAGGACTCCATCCTGCTGTGTTGAGCAAAAACACTTGCACCTGCTTGTTTGGGGATTTCACTACGTCTTGGAAAGTGGTTCTAGAAGAGTACAGCTGTGCAGTCATTTATACCGCTGGTCTTGCAGAACTGGCTGTGCTCCACCCCAGGCCAGAGCTGACTTCGGCTCGCTTAGAATGGGTAGTGTGTCTGCCTTTGTTTTTAATAATTAAATCACGGCCTTCGACTTAATCCTGTGTGTACTCGCAATGTTTGACATGAGCAACATAATTGAAAATAGAATACCTCTTGTAAGGCGGTGAATGTCAACACTTATCTGACAAGCCTCATTGTAAATATAAGTATTCTGTGCATGTCTAGGCCTAGAAACTCGCTGACGCTGTCATTTCCTTTTTTATTGCAGAGCTAAAAGATGACATGAAGAGAGGAGCCCTGACGCGCAGCAGGACAAGGCTCTGGGATGAAAATGCTGTAACTAGACTTCCTGTGGCTGCCCTGGAGGGACACGTCGTGCCTACCAGTTGCTCTGGAGACATCACAACTCTTCTGATTCATGAGCCAGCAGGATGCTGCGGTCCATGTGCTTTCAGAACGGCTCCTCGTAGCAGCGTACAAAGGCCAGGCGGATGATGTGGTGCAGCTGATTAACAGGGGCGCAAAGGTAGCAGTTACAAAGGTAACTGGAAAAATGACAAAGTTTGTCAGTCCCTGAGATATGTGGAATACAGTCGAGTTGACAAACGTGAAGTTAAAAAGTGGCTGCATGAGACAGGATTACTCAGATTGTGTTTGTGAGTTAGTATGCGTCTTTGGCCATGTACATACTTGTAAAACACGCAGCAGTTTGGTTAAACATTGCTCCTGCAATTCAACATCTAACACATTACTGATTAGAATTACTTCTGGAAATTTGTTTGGATGCTCTTATCAAAAGGAGCTCGCATTTGCATCCCTCTGTTGTGCTGGGTATTTTACTGTAGCAATTGAGGTAACATACCTTGCTCACAGACAGGACAGCACTGTCGCTCCTGAGACTTGCAGCCATATCACTCTGCAACTCACA